GTAATTAACACACACACACACACACACACACACACACACACACACACACACACACACACAAACCTCTTCCCACTTGTCTGTAACCATAACTCCTACTTACCAAAAGCTTCTTTCATTAACTAGCCTATATGTCTTCTTTTTCTACTTCCCCTCCCCACTCCCTCGACCTTGGACCCTGTAGATTCGGATTAACAGGGAAGTAAGTACTTCACTGCTCGTTCTTCTGCCTTCCATCGCTCTATTCTCTTTCCACTTCCCTGTTCTCTTTCCACTATCCTCTATCCACAAATGCTCAAAGATGTGAAAGTGTGTTTCAGGTTTGTGCACATTTGACCCCCCCCCCCCCTCCCTCAAATAAAGCCCCTTTAGCCCTTTTATTGTAAATTAACATGAGGAGATGTGTCCTCTCGGATAGAGGAAGTGGCCTGTGGAAGTGGAAAGGGTTCGCATAAGTGGCCAAGACTCAGGAGGTTTAGTGGCTATGGTGTTAGTCTTATTGGAGGAGTGGTAGCATTGCTGATATTTGGCCGGGGCCAGGGGAATTGTGGATAGCAGGCCTCACAGCACTGGTCATCCATCTCCATTTCGAACGTGTCCCCGTTTACATGACTGGATGAAATTCAGTCAGCAACGTGGACAGACTCGACATATTCGGAAGATGCCCTCCGCAAAAAGATGGAAACTGTTATGAACGTGGATTGCCCCATCATGCTGATTTGATGACAGCCAGTGGGCTCAGGAGTTTATTCAGATTAATCCTGACCTGCCTTCTCAATTCTACAGAGCCATGTAATGTAATTGGGGCATCAATTATCCTTCCAGCTGCTCAAAATGACAACAAACCGTGAACCACGAAATCCTTGTGGTTTTCTAGGTGGTGTTGTCAGAGGGTTGCGTCTTGGAGACGGGTGTCTCCTTCGCCTTGAAAGGTTAGAGAGGTAGCACTTATTTTCAGGACTTCCTTTGAACAGTTTGCTCGTTAAAGTGTTCATGCTTCAAAGTACCTCAGGTGGTCTTTGCCATGTTTATTCCCCTCAAGGCTGTAGAGGTGACATCTCAATGTTCATTCATATTCACCCCATACTCACCATATGAAAATGTGTGTCATCTATATCAAAGGCTGTCACATTCTTTGATATAAAGGATCTCAGAATACTTCACTGTACGTATCAGATTTTGCCTTGTTTATGTTGGTGATGATATCATGCCTTTATGTGAAACTATAGTGTATGATATTCTTCCACTCATTTGACTCGTGAGAATAATTCAACGGGGGAGTTTGCTGGAAAAAGAAATGTGGTTATGGTTGAATTCATCATCCCAGATGTAGTACATATTGCATCTTCAATGAAAATGGATTTGTTTTTATGGGACTGCTCTGAGAGAAAGTTTGACGAATAAATTGGACACCTGAAATTGAACAGTGTGCGCCTTTAGTTTCTTCATCATATCTTTATTAAACTTTCACAAGGAATGAGTCATTGTTCAGTCAGCTAACCCGACTCGTTGCCGGAATCCACATTTTATTTCTATTGCTCAGCAGTTTGTCAAGGTGCAGTATTTACCACATGTTGCCTCAACTGCTCCAAACTCTCTCTGTGGAGTCTATGAGAGCAAAGACATGGTGTGGAGCGAGCAATTGGTCAGACAGTGCTGGACAGTTAAACAGGAAAGGCCATCAACAGTTGCAGTGGGTCAGTCTTAGGACAGCAAAATGCAGAGAACATGGTAAGGAAGAGGGTGAGCCAGAGAGACACCCTCCCATACTGCTGTGCCTGAGGCGCAGATGGCTTACTCAGCATGTCATCCCTCTTCTCTCTTTCAGGGCTACCATCGATCCAACCACTTCATCGCCACTCAGGGTGAGTATCCAAGCAAGACTATGTGTGTGTGTGTGTGTGTGTGTGTGTGTGTGTGCGTGTGTGTGTTCATTTGCGAGTGTGTGTGTGTGCATGCAGCTCGGGTAAGCACCTTTTGCCACCATGTAATAAATTGAAGATGATCTAACCAATGAGCCTACTCATGAACAGTCCCTTGCCAAAATTCTACGGCAAATCCAACAGTAATAGTGTGACCGCCAACCCGTGAAGGCTGTGCTAGTGATGTCACTGAATTAATCATGAGAAGAGGTGAATAATTAAACACATTAATTATAGCTTCTCAATCTCTGCGACAGGCCCGAGCGGCGCGTTCATTGTTGGGGAGAGAACCATTAGTTCACCCTCTGTCGCTCAAATGTAAAGTTGTTTCTGATGAACAGTCGGACTCTGTTAAAAATGTCCCTCTGCTGTTTCTAAACCCTAAGGAGTGTCAGTTTCTAGGGAGATTCCATCACAAAGTCACCCAAGGTCTGCTCATCAGCTTATCTTGCACTAGCACCTCCTCTTCACCCTGTTAGAGAGACAGCGGGATTAAACCTGCAAGAAAGAAAGAAAGAAAGAAAGAAAGAAAAACATCAGCAGTGTTTTTGTCTCTCTGAGCATTTCCTTCCTAGGTGATCTTCGTTTTAAAGTTGTAGCTCAAATCTGCTCCTCTGATGCCAACGAGTCACTGATGGTTCCCCGGGCTTTCATCATCAGCTACTGCTGTTGTTTTGTCACCCATCACCCTTTCCCTGCTTGGAATTCCCAATAACTTTATTGACAGCACAATCTTGAGAGATCAGCACCCCGCCATCTGAGGAAGGACACTTAGGTCACAATAATACGAGATCTCACAACCGCAACAACTCCCTTATTGAGCAGATTACGCTTTGATGCCGCCGTTTTCGTCTCTTTCACTGTTATTTCTTCCCTATTTTCACTAGGACCCAAGCAGGAGACTCTGTATGATTTCTGGAGGATGGTGTGGCAAGAAAATTGTTTCAGCATCGTCATGATAACTAAGCTGGTGGAGGTTGGCAGGGTAAGCGATGTGCACTCCCCCTTCTTCCCCTCCTGTCACCACCCAGTGCTCAGAAACATCACACATTCACCATGGGGGTCATTTTGGTGTCTATATAAAAGGCTTTTATGTGTGTGATGAGTATAGATCTCACAGGAGCTTGCTGTGCATGCAAACCACAGCCTAAAAGTGGTTGATTTTGGTTAGGACGCATTTATGTGAAACCACAAGCAGTGGAGAGCCTGTGAAAGGAGTGATTCAACATTTTGAAATGCACTTATACACTGAAGGTTAGATGAGAAAACCAATATGGTTCTTCATGTGTGTTTGCTAACTATGAAGCTACAGCCAGCAGTAGCTCAGCACAAACACTGGAGACTAGGCAAAGTTACACCATTGAATCCACCTAGCAGCACTTGTTTTGACAGTTTAAACCAATGAGATACATGAGTTAATTTGGAGTTTTGGACAGAGCCAGCCTAGCTGTCTCCCCTGTTTCAAGTTTTTATGCTAAACTAAGCTAACCAGCAGCTGGTTGTAATTTCATATTTGCCACACAGAAATCAGAGTGGAATCAATCTTCTTATCTAAAATAGTGAATAACCATATTTCCCAAAATGTCAAACACTTTCTGTACCATATTCTCTTGGTGGCAATTGAAAACCACACTTTAAACGAGGCTAAACAAAGTCTCTGTGCACTATACAGTACATTAAACACACACATTTTTAAAGGATTGCGCCATGGATTATCCCTTATTTGTCTGTTTAGAGAACATCATGAAATGTTGTTTTTGCGATGTTGTATAGAAATTTACGTCACATCCTCAAATGATTAGAGTCAATAAAATGTTCTGTATACTTGTGAGGCATACAAATGTCTGAGTCACATATCTAGGGCTGCTGTCCTTGAATATACACTGCATGACTACACAGGATAAAATGGCATATACAGTACATGTAGTATATAAACACTGCTCTAAGCACCCCATCCTTTCGGTCGAGGCAAGATAAATGTAATACTCAGTGGATGGCTAAAATTACACCATTTTTCTAGGAGTAGCCCTACATACAATTTGGTTCTCCATACTAATAATTCTGGGAACTTTCTGGAAATATCACCTCCATTAAATAAAACAAAATTACTTCCTTTATGCCTTGTGTTTGTGAAGAAGATTGCCGTCCTCCTGTCCTCCTGTCCATTATGAACGATTATGTGATTATTGTGCTTTTTTTTCTTTGCCCTCCAAGATGAAATATCTGCAGAGGATTGTTTTTGCTGTTCCCCAGCATTTGAAATGTAACCTCTGTACATTTTGAATTCATTAAATGTTACACTAATATTGATTTGTTATACTTAAATCAGCTAATGAATCACTTCATATTTTACTTAATATAATACTGTATGTTGGAAAAGAAAGAAAATAGCATCAGGAAAGGTTTAAGGGTGACACTTGGAGTCATCCAATAAACCCGAACTTAAACCTGCATCCGTTACTCATCGAGTGTCATTTGTTCAACAGTTTAACCTTGTGGTTGGATTGATGGTATGATGATGCTATTTACTTAAATTGACATTGTCAGTAGGAATGCGGTGACCTAAAACACCCCAACAACATTGTTCAGTAGCAGAGAATGGCCTTGCAGCACATTTCATGGAAGTAATTCATCTGGTTTAATCCTAAAGATGTATTGAAATGTAAAAGGTGTCTTTGTCAAAAAGAGTGGGAGATTCAGAGAAATCACTCCTCAAGAGAGAGACGGTTTGGAAAATTTGGCAGTTTAAGACTGAGCAGGTTAAATTGGGGAGCACTGGATCATATTGTCTCTCAAAGAACAGATTTTCATTCTGTTGAGAAAGGTTTGTGTTAAAGGATGGATGTTTTAGTTATTCTTAATATTGTGGGATGTACTGTGTTTTGAAAAATGACTTTGAACTGGACAGAATCAACAGATATGTTATACCTTCTTCAGTTTTGCAAGTGCTTTTTCCAGGAATGTTACCAAGAGGTTTAGGTCAGTTTCTTTGCTATTTTCAAACAGGTGAAATGCTGTAAATACTGGCCTGATGAGAGCGAGATGTATGGTGACATCAAAATCACTCTGCTTAAGACAGAGACACTGGCTGAATACACAGTTCGCACCTTCGCCTTGGAGAGAGTAAGTGTATCTAAGATTTGTCTACCCTTGTTTCATCACCGTCTTTTGCCTGTATCAGTACTTGTTGTGATATTCTTAGAATTAGAAGTAGTACAGTAATAGACGGGATTAGATACTTGACAGGATTTACTGCTGATGAGTATGAGGGCTACATGTTAAATTAAGAGGAATTAACACCAGTAGCTATGTGTGAATGCCCCTGCCGTCTTTCCGACATAGCCGTTACAGTGTTGTGCCCCTGATGGTCTTCCTCCTGTCAATCTCCTGGGGGATCTGGCATTGGAGGGGCTCAGAGCAACGCTGGAGTGACAGTGGCACAAACACAGCATTATCATCACACTGTCACATTCGCTCTCCAAGGGCACATGCTCCTGCTTATTTAAATCGGCACGAATTTGGGAGCTGGTGACAGCTTGTTTTTCCAGAGCTTTTTTCCTTTCTTTTTTTGGATTTCTGTCTTCAACAAATCTTTGCTTTGCGTCGCTTTACTTTGTCATCGCTGTACAGAGGAAGAGATTGCTGTGCGACTGCAGCAGCCTCCCAGTAGAGAGGAGGAAAACTCCCAGCCCTCCCTGAGCTCAGAGAGCCTCAGTAATTCCTTTTCGCGTGTCTGTCACACTGGAGCTGCTACTAGCATGTGATGCCCAGAGGCCTAACTGTCCTAGAAGACCTAGCACCCTACGTAAATAATGTCATGGTTGTCCTCACACTGAACCAAAAAATCTGTCGCATCTATCACGGATATCTCTTAATGGTTGGGAACCCGTCTTGGATGAAATAAGGGCCCGTAGGCTACTATGGTTACGATGCATGCCATATAAATGTAGTGTCTTACATGTAATGCTAATTTGTATTGCGTTTTTGTTTACAGAGAGGATATTCAACCAAGCATGAGGTGCGTCAGTTCCACTTCACATCCTGGCCTGAGCACGGGGTGCCGTATCACGCCACTGGTTTGCTGGCCTTTATACGAAGAGTGAAAGCCTCTACACCTCCTGACGCCGGCCCTGTGGTGGTCCACTGCAGGTAATGTGGCGCTTAGCAGCAGCCGTAACCCGTTGTGTTGTAGCTTTTATTGAAAAGTAAATATGATGTTACCACAATTGATTTTTTCCAGTGTGGCAAGTAGTATTAGTTATAGATTGTATTCTCCTTTGGGAGGCTCAGGACAACTGTGATGTGCAGAATGAAAGTCACATGATTGACGAAGGCAGCCCACAAACTAGGGCAGGGGTAAGGGTTTAATCAAGCTGCCACACATCTCTGTTCTCTTTTACAAACAAACACTTTATTCCTGTGATTCAAATGTTATCCTGACTTAAATATTTTAAAATGCAAAAAAACGTTGGCTATTAGAGACACACCCCGATTCCTAAATAAATTGACTGGACTTGAAATGTGACCATGGATATATTAGTTTATTTAGATTTTGTATTGTGTTATAGATTAAGACCTATTAGACCTTTAACAGATTTTGAAAATGTGAGAGAGCCCACGCGTAAATACAATCAATAATAAATGTAACAGTTTTGTTCTTATAGTGTGTGCAGTGCAAGGATTTGCGATTTTGCGTACTCCGCTGTCCCCAAGGTTCCACCCTCACAACAGGATATCAGATTGTAAATATTAAGCATATTTGATATTTGTAATTCGAGCAGATGGGGCATGTAAAAAACACGCTTAAAATACCTCACACCACAGGAAAATAAGATAATCTTTAGAACCAAAAACAGGGGAATTGTGCCCAGAAATTGGCTTAATTCTCGCGCAGTGTGTACCCTGCATTAGCAAACTCCATTTGTGGCATGACCCTCGCCTGTATGCTGCTGACCTTTAAGACTTTGCCATTCTCTTTTAAATCATGCAGTGCTAACAACTTGTGCTCCTGAGGAGACATACTGAATCCTAACAATATTTTTACTAACTCAAAAGTCTGGTGAGTTAATGCTTTAAGACTGTGCATGGTCACTCGTGAAAGTTGTCGTTTGTGTGCTAGTGTGGGGGCGGGCCGCACCGGCTGCTACATCGTGCTGGATGTCATGTTGGACATGGCGGAGTGTGAAGGCGTGGTGGATATCTACAACTGTGTCAAAACCCTCTGCTCTCGACGCATCAACATGATCCAGACGGAGGTCAGGTCAACTGCACAGCTGGGAAACCACTTCACATTCAGACCCAAGTCAAATATCTGCAACTTGTCTTGGCCATATTGTCACTGGTCATAATATGGTAATATGTCTCCACTGCAAAACTTCTGGAGAGTTGGATTATTTATTTATTTATCATTAGCTTCCCTCCTGTTGTTTGGAAATTCAAAGAGCGAGGGGTTGGGGGTGTATTATCATACTGCCCCTCTGGGACTCATGTAAAGGTCATTGCAATAGATTTGGAGAAAAGAATTGCAATGTGTTGTGTAGGCATGTGCTGTTCTTTAGATGTGCAGGTAATTTGCATGTTTAACCCTTATTATGTAAATCTGACATTGGCATAGCTGTTTAATACATTTGTAGTTATCTGGTGTCTTAATTAAATGCACAACGCATGTGTTTGTTTACTTAGAAATATTAATTTATTCCCCAACACCACCAACATTATAGCACATGTTCAATTCAGAACAAAGTTATGAGTCGTTCTTCTTTATTGTTTGATTATTTATTCAAATCTACGTTTGATGTTAATCTCTTTCTGTCTTTACCTGCCTCCTTTGTCTGTTTAGCTGTTTGCAACAACATGTACCAATGCATGCCCCCACTTGTGCACATACTCAACTCAGCACTTAAATATGTTGACACATGGTGTCCTTTCAGGAGCAGTACATCTTTATCCATGATGCCATTTTGGAGGCCTGTCTGTGCGGAGAGACTGCCATCTTGGTGAATGAGTTTGCGGTCACTTACAAAGAGATGCTGCGAGTGGATTCCCAGAGTAATTCCTCTCAGCTGCGGGAGGAGTTCCAGGTCAGTCTTTAGCTGGATGGCCACATCACGAGCTTGATCAACATTCCAAGCACACATTTATTTTTGGAAAAATATGCACCCAAAAGATGTATTCACAATTACACAGCCAACACACAGTAATTTGCATCTGTAATGCATTTAATAAATATCATTAATACAATTATTTAATTTACCTTAAGGGAACTAGTACTTCTACTGCTACTGTTTAATTTAGTAACAACAATATAATACTGTAGTACTACTACTAATACTACTACTACAGTATTACTAATGATAGCACTGATAAAGAATTTCATTCCATTTTGCATGTACCTACACTACTACTACGACTGTACTTTTACTACTACTACTACTACTACTACTACTACTACTACTACTACTACTACTACCACCACCAACAATAATAAAGCAGTAGTAATAATAATGCATCCAAAAATGCATGCGTATGCGTATCCGTGCAGGAGGATGTCTCCTGCATGGTTGTCTCCTTTTCACTTTTGATTCTGTGTGACTGCCATTGCAGTCCTCTGCTTGGTTTGTAGGAATGCAGTCTCAGAACATTTTATTAGATATTGATTAGGAGAGAAGAGAGCCAGCTGTGTTCCCACATGCTTTACCTGCCCCCCCCCCCCCCCCCCATTCTTATTCTTTACATAGGAATTATAATAGATTTATTGCTTAGAATTAGTGATTTGTACTATAGGTGCTGCAACACTGATCAAACTGTTAGTTCTTCATGAAGGAAAACGTTTCATGCCTCCCTTTGATCTTGTAAAGGTATCCGTCTGACATTGTTTTTGCAAGCCTCTCCACCGCCCCATGAGCTCTCTGTTTGCCTTTTTACTCACCCTACAGACTGAAAACAGCCAACCGGTAGTGCTGCTCGGCAAGTCACAGATCTATTATTGATGCTGTGTATTAATGATCAAAGTATTTTTTCACGTTGTCTAATGTAATTGCGGCTAAATGAACAGAGAGTTCATCAAAGAAAATTGGTTTGCAATATTTCCCTTTCATTCATTTGACTCCGTTTGTCAATGTGATGTTCATTAGATTCTTTCAGTTGATATTGGTTTGTTAGCGGTCTCCCCTCCCTCCTGTCTGATTCACTTCTTTTTCTTCTTCCTCCTCCACCTCTCTACCATTTCTGACTCCTCTGCTGTGTTTCACTACTCTTCACGCCTTCCTTGTTTGTGATTCTCACCTCACCTCTTCAATGTTTCCATTTGCAGACGCTCAACTCTGTGACTCCCCACCTGGATGTGGAAGAGTGCAGCATTGCTCTGTTGCCCAGAAACCGAGAGAAGAACCGCAGCATGGATGTTCTGCCACCTGATCGCGCACTGGCCTTCTTGGTTACGACAGAAGGGGAGAGCAACAATTACATCAACGCTGCTCTCGCTGACAGCTTCCATCGGCAGGCTGCTTTTATTGTCACCCCTCACCCTCTGCCGGGCACCACGGCTGACTTTTGGAGGCTTGTCTTTGACTACGGCTGCACAGCAGTGGTCATGCTCAACCAACTCAACCAGTCAAACTCTGCCTGGGTAAGGTCAAAGTGTTACACACTGTTTTATTGCTATTGATTTGTTGACACTATAAAGAAAAAGAGCCGTAGAACATTTTTGAGTCCACTCACACAAGAGCCGTTGTTTGCGCTAAGTTTTTAATTCCACTCTCGAGGTTGTCTGAACTTATCTTGAGACTTTTCCTGACATACACTGGCTTCACTATTTCTGTATCTTACTGTGTTTGGGATTGGTTTCTTCTTGCTATTTTGTTGGGCTTTGATCCCTGACCACGTTGATCTCAAGGCATGATTAGATAACTCCCGCCCCAGTTTTTCCTTCCCCTCCTTAAGTTACATTTCTGAAGAATGGGCTTGCATTACCCTTCAGCCACATCCCAGGGTTTTTATTTTTTGACTTTCCACTTTCTCTCATGAACATATGTCTCTCTCTGTGCTACAGTGGTCCTTGTTCTTTCTTTAACACTTGTAAAAAAGCAGGAACACAAAACACAAACATCAAACAAACTCAGTGGAACACTAGGAACAAGTAGCTAAAAGTATGTCATAAATTTATTTTTAAAGGGAGACTGTTAAAGCCTTTGCTCTACCAGATAATAAGGAGCCAAACTGAAGAACACTTAAAAAGTCAGCAATAGATCCTAAAAGTCTACAAAGCATGGAAATTGAATCACACCTCAAAGTTTTCGTAGAGTCTGGCAGCCAACTGTTGAGCAAATTGAGCCAGCCTATAATTTTCTGATTAAGAGAGATGAACAGATCATTAATTAAGCGTGAATAAAAGGAAAGCATGTAAAAATAGCCCCGAGTGTCATTAAGAGAAAGGAATGATTTAATTCTTGAGCTATTTCTCAGGTGGGGGAAAGCGACTAAGCCTACAGTAGTAATATGGGACTCCAGACTGATCAAATGTAAGTCCCAGACTTTTAGCAGCAGGAACAACATACTCTGTTAAAGAGCCAAAAGCTGGCACAACTTGGCTACGGACGTGTTCAGCCAATAATTAAGATCTCCGTTTTGTTGGAGATAAGCTAAAGGAGGTTGGCAGACATCCAGTCCTTAATGGCAGATAAACAGTAATGTTGCTGAATAATTCAACAACCTTGGGACAGCTATGAGTTGATATGATCGGCATAATAATGGAAAGAAATAAGAAATGTCATGCTGTCTAAGAATGTAGCCGAGGAAAACATGGAAGGAGAAAATAAGATTAGCCCCAAAATAGACCCTTGTGGTCCACCACACAGGGACACTGAGGACCATTGACAAACACAATACAATTTGCAGTAGACAAACAAAACCAATCAAGGACAGTACTACTTAAACCTCTGAATACGAATCTTTTAATCCATCATGTCAAACGCTGCACTGAGATCAGACATTCCAGCACAGAGCATTAGGTAGCAGCTTTCATCAATACAGCATTAGCAACTCTTACAAGGACAATTTCAAGTACTGCAGTGCAGTATTAACACCTGTATATTTAATATGTGTATGAATCACTAGTGAATTACATAAACCACCTAAATAAGCCTAAAAGATAAAAAAATAATGGCTCAGGCAGAATCTAGATTTTGGCATTTTTATAGGCATTAATGCTTGATTTACATACCTTGTCAAATATTTAACATTAATCATGTGAAATATGTATTACATTGTATCAAAGCCTTCGAAAGCCAGGTGCTTACTATAAATTACAAATCTTTTTTTGTCCAAGGTCTAACTTGGATTGTTGTAAAATCAGCCCTTTTTGTGTTTCATGGATAATGCTCAGATGAGGATGTCAATTATTTTTTGAGTGTAAATAGCAGCAGTGACACTACAGTTCCTCAAGGGGCCATTACTTGGATAACTTAACCTAATTAACTAATTCAGCAAAGAGAAATATGACCTTTGAGGGCTTTAACAGGCTTTGTAACGGTAGAACAAAGGCAATAAGTCATATTATGTTTTTAACCATTGTGTGTGTGATGTGCTCATTAAACCTGCAGTTGGTAAATTATAAGAAGAAATAACTTGTTGTCATATTTGCTCAAACTATCACAATATCCTGCCAGTAGTAGATGAGACTAATAATCTGTGAAATGAGAAAGTTTGTTACCGGCCTGTCATTTGGAAAACAGTCGAGCCAAAACCAAGCACCGTCCACAGGCCACAGCAAGAAAGTAAAAAAATAAAATAAATTGTAGGTACCACCTGTTCAGTCCCAATTGAATCCACTCCCCGTTACATGTTTTTCAACTCTTTTTTCCCGGTGCAATGCAGTTCCTTTTGGCTCTTGCCTGAAAATTGAGTCATCGCCTTTTTAAGTTGTTCATTGCAAGATCTTGCTATATAATCTGTTATAGAGTTCATTTGTGGCACTGGAGTACTCTGTCTCCCTCTTGTTGCAATCTCTCAAAGCACATTACATCTCTCCCTCCCCCTGCTGCTTCTCTCCTTATTAACGCCAGTATGGTACCGTAACATACAATCATGGCTTTTGCCCATGCTGTTATTATACTTGTATACCTGCATGTCTCTAGAACTGTATTATATCTTTTGTGTAGTACAGCGCATGCATGCAGACCCCGCACTGCATATATGCACACACCCGTTCACACTTGGTTAATTTTTTATATCATCTGAGCTTCTTAAAGTTCTCCTCTCTTTGATAATCCAAGGTTTTGAGAGCAAATGCATCTTTTGGCCACAAATACTGAAGAATGTATGAGTATTGCATGTGCTAGATTTAACCTCTTCCCCCTCTCTCTCTCTCTCTCTCTCTCTCTCTCTCCCCCTCTCTCCCCCCCTCTCCCCCCCCCCCCCCCACACGTCCCCCTCTACCTGTAGCCTTGTGTTCAGTATTGGCCGGAGCCCGGTTTACAGCAGTACGGGCCCATGGAAGTGGAGTTTCTGTCCATGTCAGCAGATGAGGATGTCATTACTCGTCTGTTTCGGGTCAAGAATGTCACGAGGGTGAGTCATTGCAGTTCTGAAAAGCCTGCACAGGACATGTTGTTCCTCTCGGTGGTATTTCACAAAATGATAACTTGAACCTCATTAGAAATGCATTAGCTGTGGTCCTCACTGGTTATTCAGATGTGACATTTTACATACAGAGCATTTAGAGCTGCCAGCTGTAATGTGCATATAAAAACCACCTGACACGAGTCCTCAAAGTCAAAGTACTATAGACTCGGCTGTAAAAATACTGTGTACCGAATGATGATTTGAATTTCTATTTAACTTTGTGTATGTGCGCAAATGTACAGGCTAAATGCTCCATTTGATGCTAGATTTCTGCAGTTTGTGCCTGTGCATCGTTATCTTGCTATTGCTATGTCTATATCTTTTGCACTTACACAACGGCACTTCTCCAGTGTCTGCCTCATGGGACAGAGGAGGTTGTCAAATAAATACACTCTAAAATAAATACACGCTAAAATATAGCCTGGAGATTTGTACTGAGCACAGTGGCACATCAGGAAAAAACTTATTCATAGGCTGTATTATACATACTACAAGGGACATTGTTTTGATATTCAGCAGTCCAGAAAATTGAACCAGTGTTTCCGTAAGATGTTCCCAAGAGTGATACATATTATTAGAACTTTGCATGGAAAACATGCAAGAAAAGCCCATTAACATGCATGCAATAAAGGTCAGTCTCTCCCTTTTTCAATTTCTTCTTGTCATTACCGAGATAGGCTTCTTCCCTCTCTTAGGTGCAAGTAGGCATACTAAAGAGGGAACTTTCATCATCAAAATGCATGCAATATTTTGAGTTGCAGGATACTCTTTTCAAGCCGCAACTCTTTTTTGAATTGTTCATTAACAATGTCATACATTTTTTGTAGGTATCTGGCATGTATATAATTAGCTATATAAAGGCACTGACAGTTCTGTCATGGTGGAGGGAGCACAGGGGGATGTCACTGTGGTCTTTCCTCAACTTTCATGCTCCAGATATTTGCATATGTATGATTCAGTCATTTTGGCTTCTCACATGTCACTGTGTTGAGTGTATGTGTGTGTGTATATGTGTATGTATGCAGGTATGGTTTAAGCCTGCAAATTTGCATAAGCTCATGCATACTGTTCAGGATCACTGTCAACCAATTATTGAAGGAATGCAAGGCGTTTCCTCGCTGCTATTAGAAGCAGTGCGACTTGCCTTTCCCAGAACTTCCTTTCTTGATTGGCGTCCTCACCTTCTCTCCCAACTGCCCTTGTCATTCCCCTCTGCCCACGGCACCTTTCTTCTTCTCAGTGCACAATACTGTCAAGGAGAGGGCAACTTAACACAGCATGGCAGAAATCAAATCACACAGAAATAACACACCTCTCTCCCTCTCACTGCCCCTCTCTCAGTGCTTTAATGAGTATTCCTCATACGGGTGACAATGATATACAAGGGGAGGGTGTAAAAGTCAACCGAAGTGCAATGTAAGCATATGTATGTGTGGGTATGAGAGTAGTACAAAAAAAAGTACATAGTGTAAATCCCACATCTGCTAAGGCAATTCCTCCATGCATCATCGGTGTCTTTGCCAGCCCAATTTGCATGACTTACAGTTCTCCGCTGGTGCTTAAGTATTAGGTGAGATTGTATAGGACAAGGTTATGAACACACAGGGACCTCTCTTGAACACAGCGCGGGCCCCGCTTACACCTGCAGACCCATATATCTCAAAGTCAGTCTGCTGAGTGAGCACAGAGAGTGCCAGCACGCAGCCTGGGGAGAACTCAAACACGGGTGTTAACTGGCACACAGAGAAACACCGAAACAACCAGAAAATGTAATACAACACAAACAAGATAGAGAGCACACATGCGCGCACAGCCACACAGTAGGACTACACTCAGATTCCATGTGTTTCATTTTTCCTGTTCCATCCCAAGCCCCAAGAGGGCCAGCTGGTGGTGTGTCAGTTCCAGTTCCTGCGCTGGTCGGCGTATCGAGATGTTCCGGACTCTAAGAAGGCTTTCCTCAACCTGCTGGCTCAAGTGCACAAGTGGCAGAGGGAGTGTGGAGAAGGACGCACTGTTGTCCACTGCCTGTGAGTAATCTGTCAGCGACACGCATCACGCACTGTAAATTAAAAGAGAGAAAAGGAGACAAGGCAGAAATATGTGTTCAGTCTTTCTCTGTAACGGTCTCAGACATGGAATTACTGCTGTAGAAGAGTGATATTTAAAAGTGCAGAAATGTTAAAACGTGGTAAATTATGACCAAGTCTGTTTGATGAGACAGTGACTGTCTCGTGCCTTGTCTCTTTGGTCTGTGTGGATTCAGTGCGATGAGATGAAGTGCTATATTCTTCGATGGCTGTATTTTCATAATGTAGAAAATCAAATTGTGTTGTAATGTAGTGTGCCGTGGTGTAGCGCAGCGTGCCCCTCTGTTGTCCTAAGGCCCCGGAGCGCACGCCCGCTGATGAATACGAATGAGCCGTCCAGCTCATTGCCAACCCGTCACACGTTCGTCCCCACCGCCCCCATCCAAAAGCACATCACTCAGCGCTGTCACACAGTGTTACCCACGACAACCAGGAAAGAGATTATGGAGATCAAATCAATTATGGCTTAATACAGAATGCGACGGTTCTCACTACAGTAAATTCAGAACTGCCAAAGCACTGAGGACGATTGATTACCTTAATATTGCCTGTGTACTCTGCAGAGGATTCCATGCACACCTTCTCTGGATTTGTCTCAGGAGAGAGGAAGTGGATTGTCCTCCACTAGTTTATTGATATTGCCTTTCATTTATGATGACTAAGGCAATATTTCCGATACAATGCCACACTGCTGTTATTTCTCAATTTTTTCCTTTATACAGCTTTTCTCGTGTCGCTATTTTTGTATCAAGCGATTGTGTGCGTTTGCTTTATGAACTGTATCAAATGTTTCACGAGGTAGCATGAACACAAAAACAACATGGTTATCAGATTACACATACTCTGCCATGCTTAAACTGCATTATTGTCTTCCAGAATCCACTTTAACATGTGAGGAGGCGGCGACTGGAGACTGAGATATATTTGTATTGAAATTTGCTGTACATATGCAGTACATATACTTTGCTGTTCATGCAATATGATAGGATCATGATTGCATCATACTGACAGTCGAGGTCTGAACCCACACTTCGTTTTTTCCAGCAGACAAATCTCAATTAAAATACATTTAAGAAGACTAGTCTACTAGCAGCTCTGTAGAGTGTGGATACCAGGGTCCAGGCAAATATTTACAAATGATGCTCAGGTTCGGTGTCAGGCTACTTACAAAGACTACTCATTGTTCAGTGCCGGAGTTTGTTATCTACGTCACTATAAATAATGACTAACCATGGTAGCACCAATTGCGTGACAGCGTCCGGCTCTGGTCGGACATTAAAATGAGAATGCCTGTCGTGTTCGGGTCGGGCTTGGTCACTTCTCTCTGGACTCCTAAAACAGCAATATCAACCACACGGTGGCACTAGCAGAATTGTCAAGGGGTCACCAAAGTCAGGAGGCACAGTGGTGGACCGAACAGTCGACATTGCCATTCCAGAGCAACAGTGGCTAAAATACAGCGTTAAGGGATGAAAAACAAATTTTAAATGAAATGAAAAATATAAGGCATCTATCTAAGATGTTTTAAAAAACAAACAAAAAAAACACTTCTCCCCCTCTGCAGTAACGGTGGTGGTCGCAGTGGGACCCTCTGTGCCTGCAACATTCTCCTTGAGATGATCCAGTACCAGAACATGGTGGACATCTTCTATGCTGTCAAAACTCTACGCAACTGCAAACCCAACATGGTTGAGTCCTTGGTAAGAGAGTCCGTAAATCAATACAAATATGCGTTTTCAAGTGGCATGATAATGTCTATGATTATTCATGTGTTTTCATTTTTTAATTTAAGAATATTGTATTTTTCCTCAGGACCAGTATCGGTTCTGCTATGACCTTGTCCTGGAGTACTTGGACTGCTTTGAAGGTAGATAGCAACCAAATGTTTACCACAGCGGCAGTATCCCATCTGCTGGAGATTAGATTTAAGGCCACCCAGTGACCCCTCTACTTTAATGTTTGGACCTATGGACTTGGCTTTGAAAGGACTTGAAAGAAAGCAGAGGATAAAAAAAAAAACTTGGTCATGGTTCTAACTTTTAACCTTTAATGTACAGCTGTGATTTCCTCCTTGTTGGTGATGTGTATCTCTTTTGATATTTTTTGTGCTTTTCTTGCCTCCGGACTAAAGCTCTTTTGTGCTAAGGGTTTCTGTAGCAGCAAAACAATATTTGGAGCTACAAAAATGGACCTGTTTATTCTGAAGGAAGGTCACCACTGCTGTGTTTCATCGTTTCATTCAAACAACAAGGAGGCTGGATGCAATTCCAGAGTTAAAACAGAATTGTCTAAACCTGGAAGCATTTTCTTGTCTCTCAAGAGCTACATACAACAACAGTCCACTGTGGTTGTGGCATGATTTCTCTACCATACCATAAACTGCCTTATTCTCTGATGATAGGACGGATTTATTTAAATCACTGAATAAATCAGGAAGGTTGTGTATAAACGGCAACAAGAGATTTGCAGCATTAGCATAGACCAGCCCAGTCCTCAACAGTATTGATGCAGAAACTGTACAGTAGTGCAATGTGTTGTATTTTGCCATAATGTTTGTGCTGGATTACCATGTGTGCTATAGGTGGACATTTCCAGGGACCACAGCACTGGGCCCTGTGCCACCACTGAAGATTCCTGTCTCATTACTGTCACAGTGCCAATCCCATTGACTGACTTGAATCCTCTATTTACTTTACTCTATCATCTTGATATATGCCTACAAACATACAGTATGTACTGCATCAGCTAATGTCCATGCTCCAAAGTGATTGTTTGTATTTTACACCCAGCAGGAAAGAAAAAGAAGTGAGGGAAACTGTTCAAAATGTACTGACATGCCATAGTGGTGGTGTGAAAAATGATGTTCCATTAATGCCGTGGTGAAGTGTCTCAACCAGTGCTGCGTTACAGGTTTGAGTCTGTAACTCCTTTTACTCCTTTGTTGTCTGAGGCATTTGGTTGTACTGTAAACTGTCTCAGCAAGCTAAACCAGTTTGACTTTTATCATAACCCTTTCAGTAAGGGGTTCATTCAACTATTTTGACATGTATATTAGTTGTTGTTCCTAGTGGTGTAAAATAAAAATAAAAAATATATATAAATAAAAAGGGGCATTAACATTGTGCAGGGGGATAAATGCTACTTTGCGTCAACGCTGGTGATTGGTGTTTTCCCAATGGTGGTTTAGTATCTTAAAATAAAAAATGGTGTTTTTAAAAGGACGAATAGTGAGATACAGTTGCCCAAAGACCCTGCTGTTCAGCTATCACTGACCTGATGGACAAAGAAAATACACTGTGCGTCACCTACCAGCCAATGCCTGGAGACCACTGGAACTGTTAATGCCTGAATCAATTGAAGAAACTCATGCAGGTTTGGCATGTGTGACACACATAATGATCTTAAAACCTCTAAAAATGTCCCAGAAAAAAAAAAGATCTTTGTGTTTTTCTTTTTACATTTTCTTCCAGAAGCAAGAAAATATCTATTCTAGAATCAATTATTGCCCTTTAAAACATGTTACGCTCCACCATATCTCCTGAAACTCCTTAGAGTGCAGGTTTTCAAGCAGGGCGGTAAAGGTATCACTCCAGGACCTGCTCTTATAAACAAGGAGAGACACCTTGAAGCCCACACAAAACTGAGAAATGGCAGCTAGGACAACTCAGCTGCTAGTTAGTTGCACACAGTCTGGTTCAGGTGGGAGCTCCAGAATATGTGATGAATCCACAACAACATCACAAGGCTCCCACAGGTTCACTGATAGAGCAGCTTGTTTTTGACGAGGATGAAGAATAGCGTAGTCAGTGATCCGACCTACCACCGGAGGAAGTGCTTGGACACTTTTTCTTGCAGGTGAAAGGAATGTGTACATACAGATGTATATTATGTTATGTGAATACTATGTGAATAATATACTATATGTTTGCCGAGAGTAAAGACGTACAGTAAGTAACCACTACATAACCAGGAAGGTGAATGTGCTGTAAATGACTATTTTGTGAGTGTTTTGCCAGGACTTTAAACAGCCAAGTATGAGCTGAGTCTCCCTGAGCGTTCATCCCAGACCTCTGAGTAAAACAGGTCTGTCAAAGCATGTATGAATCCATTGTGTGCTTTGTTTTTCATTTAGTTAATTTCGGAATATCCCGGTCCACCTCGTTTATTTCAACCGCTGTGTTTTCCAGCAGCCACGACTGTGTGAGCACATTGTACTTATGCCATTCCGAAGCTTTTTATTATGACTGAGCGGCAGCGACTGCCCCGAGGGTACCGGTAATTTCAATTATTTGTTTCTGTATGAACCGATAGCACATGACATGCCCGTTGTATTTGTGGGGACAAGGTGTGTATTTAAGGAAAGAGATGGAGGAGACGGATGTATTCAGAGGTCAGGAGAGGGCTTTGTTCTGAACATTATCAGCGATCTACAATAAACGAACAAGGGAAAAAAAAAGAGATGTGTGGTTGTCAACTTATCATTGGATATTCTGTCAAAAAGCATACGCAGCTAAAATAGTCTGTGTGGTTTTATGATTGGTTTGTCAGCAGAAGCTGAGAGCTGAAAGCTGGACATGGACTTCCTGTCTACCAGCCTCTGACCCTCCTGCGGTTTCTCATACGGATGTGGTCTTTTAGCAGTTTCCTTCGCCTTGAACCAGATCGACCATTTGATCTCTCACCACTTTTCTTTCCCTTTTTCCCTTTTTCACCAACTGTGTCAGCCTCTCGCCGCCCCCATCCTCAACTCCTCTTTCATTACTTTCAGTTCTTCCTCTCATCCTTCTCCATCTCTCTGGCTTTGCTGCTCTGCCCAGAGTAAGGTGAGTCCAGACCACAGACTTCCTCTCTCACCCTCGGCTATGTTGAATAATGCAGCAGTCCTGCAAACTGATCCAGTGTTTAGCAGAGGGACAAGTCGGATTAATTAAAGGACAACACTCCCCTTCTGTTGGGTTAGGCAATAGGCTAAGGATTCGCCAATAGATTGTTTGGAAATTGATAAACCTTGATAGCAAGCTTTTGAGTGTGGTAAAGGAGTGTGTTGAAAAATGCAAGTGTTCTTTAGATGAGATTTTTCATTTGTCATGGCATTGAAAAAGAGCAAAAATGCATTATTGATAACATGACATAGATAAGGAGCTTTTTCATGGCGGCAGGCCATTTACACTATCCTATTTTAATCCACGAGATTTTCTCAATTTACGTTTTTACCTGAAAAGGTTCCATCATCCTTTACTACTCAAATTTCACCGGTGATTTAAATGAATCGGTAATTGCAATCTTATCATTTAATTCTGATGGTGTAATGACTGACATGTGCAAGGCAACTTATCACGGGGCCAAGATCCAATTAGGTTTTGTCTTTTCTCTCTGGACTTTCTGTCTTATATTCCTCTGCTGACAGGCTCGATGGATGTCAGCCTCACAGTCTCTCTGGTGAGCCTCGCACTAGATACACTCTCATGTGGTGTTTCTGTGAAACGACAGTGAGGGCCGACAGTTCAGCTGATGTCAGAAGGATGGCGAGCTATGGCTGCATGCACTAAAATAGTGGTTTCAAGCCTTTTTTTTAACCATTTATCATTTACATTTAGCTAATTATGTCAACAGTGTCCACTACATCCACTACATCTAACTTACTGTTTCAACCTTTTATCCATTTATTTAAGATTACTATTCAGACCATTTATCCATTACTGTTAGGTAACTATTTTAACCAGTCATTCATTACATTAAGACTTTAACCAGTTATGCATTGCTTTTACTGTTTCAACCAATTGCCAATTACTTTTAGCTAACTAATTTTGTTTATCCATTAATTAACGGTAATCATTCTGAAGAATTTACGTTATTTGTAGCTGGTTATTTCAAATGTTATTTCCTCTCTTAGCTAACCCGTTAAACCGTTTATCAACTACTTTTAGCTAACTCTCTGCTCGCTAACCAACAAGATTCCATGCACTTGCAATTGCAATAAAATGATCTACGGTGTTTGAACTTAGTTGGTGGAAGGTGTGTATTTGGATATTTTCTCCCTAAATGCAAGCATTTTTGATCATACTCCACATACTTTGCATCTACCCCCCCTAGCAATTGAAGCAGTACCTGCTGGGATACAAATACCTCAGGTTGGGAATAACTGCTCACTTGTTTCCAAATAGCTACAGAGACATGATAACGGGCTGTAAATCTCCGAGATGGTTTTAGCACTGGCCGAATGTTATGTTTCAAAGCACAGCAGTGTATCTTAATATCAAACATTTTTTGCTTTCTTGTCAAATGCTAGATGCAGATAAAACCCAATATTCTCTGGGAAGATATTGTCACAACAGCTTTTGTGGGTGACCTTGCCTAAGCCTCAGTCAATAAGAAGAAAGAAGAGAGGCATATCCTTTAACATGGCATGGACATCGTGTTAGGCTTTTAGGAACAGGGAGAAAAATCAAGATCAATGTAGCCTAACATGATTTCTTAGAAGCGATACAGATTTGTAAATAGACTGATATTCTCTGAGGAGAAATTCTGTGTATTTTTTTTTATATTAAATGCACAAGGTGAAATGTGAACACATACACACACATTAGCTTGTCTTACCATCCTGGTGGTACTCAACTTCTGCTGAATAGTGCAGCAGACGAGACAGGTGGCTCCAGCTTTGTGCTCAGCAGAGCGAGGACAGACTGGAGCTGGCCAGATGGCTCTGTCCACCATGCTTCATCGCTGGTTCCATTTCAAAAGTCGGTCTGACAGGAGCATTTATCGCAGCAGTGTGCTCTCAGTTCAGTGAAAGTCATGGTTCACATGAACGTTTGGGGTAAGGTGTGCTCATGAAGGTTCCATCCCGGATCATTCAGGCAAACAAGAAGCTTGACACAGATAACCAGAATCGGAGGAAACCCGAGTGACTCAACCATCCATTTCCTCTTTATCATTCTCACCTTTTGCTGTTACAAAACGCTACAGTAGTTTGCCTCCACCACGGACACCAGCCACCGATAACTTCGGATGCTCTGACCTGTATCATTTAGTGGCCTTGAATTCAACAGCTGAATTAAGCCAGTGGAGGGAAACAAAATGGCCACAGTAAAATAAAACAGGGCAGATTGGTGCTGTGAAATCCGGGGAAAGCAAAGAATAAAGTTTGCAAAGTTATAGTGTTAAAATATCAAGGTTTTGCAGAGGAAATTGGTATCAACCACCCCCATCTTGATAACATTACAATCTCAGGTGAAGCAAAGGCTGAAGTTGTTTTTGCCCCAAGGATAATCTATTGTTGTTAGGAGGCTACACATATAGAGATGTTGAGCCTTGAGGGTTCTGGGGAGAAGCTTGTAAATGATCCTATGTCAACATGAACCATTTCTGGGTTGTGGCAATAAAGCATCTCCAAGCTGCCATAAATTTGAGAGATGGCCTTATCAAAAGGTCAGGCCTTTGAGGGACTGGCTTAGCAACTGGATTCATTCTTCGGTTTATTTAGAGCAGAAAAATGAAGCTGCAAGCAACGACTAACATCAATCATACTTCATTGTGATCATTGACACTTCGACGAGAACAGGAGTCTTTTTGATTTCCTTTAAAGGGTAGTGAACAAACACTGGGGATATACTCTACTAGTCAATAAAGTGAATATTTCCCCTTCATTGCTTTAAAAATAATAATATATAATAATTATTATTTAGGCACATGGTAGCTACTGCATGTATTTTCCCAGTGTCTAAAGAAATAGTAAATAATCTGAGTTGTAGACCTTTCGAGAGCACTTATGTCAGAGACGGGATAATTTCATGTCCTGTTGAGTCTGTTGAGGGTTGTGTTTGTGTGTTTGTGGCAACTGATTACATAAGTTGTGTTTGTGTTTTTAAACCATTAATTAAAAGACAGGACTCAGGTTAAATTTAAACCTGCTATCAACTTTCAAGGCACTTAAAAACAACAAAGCGAATATACTTCCCGTCCCAACAGTGTTTATATTCCAGGTTTTTACTGTGTAAGTTTCTGTTTCATCCGACTCTCTTGTCCCTCGTCCCTGCCGTCTTTATCTCTCTCATTCTGTTCCCTTTTCTCCTCGAGCATTTGTTGAAATAGATGCAGCCACGGGAGGACAGTTGTGCAACTGATATTACTACATTAACCTCGGGGAGAACAACGGTCATCCTCTACTCCCTCATCTCTCTCCTCGACCAGACTCCCCCAGGTGTAGGATGCTGTAACCCCAGTCCTCCCCCTGACATCCCTGGAGCCCTGTGTCCTCCAGTTCATGCATCCCTGAAGCTGAAAGTTATCTTCCTTCTGCCATGGCTGAGTCATTTTCCACTAGTTGAGAAAAGACTTCTTTGCAACCTCAATGAAAATTTGGCATACAACGCTACTCCTTCTCAACACTTTGTCTTTCACACTTATAGTGTAATTTACAATGTCCTCATCTCATTTAGCCCATCAACTTGTGGAGATTAGTCACTCCTAATGTGCCTGCAATCATTTTCTTTTGTTGTATTGAGGACATTACTGTATTTGATTTGCATTGCACCTAGCTCCTTTCGAAGATGATGTATTGTTTTTCAAGTTGGGGTACACATTGTTCAAAAAGAGCCCAATCAAAGCCTGCAGCTAAAATAATTAAATAATAAAGTGCACAGTCTGTGTGCCATAAAAGAAAACACTATAAAATGAATGCTTCTATACTGTGATTGGATGACATGAGTACCCTTAAAATGTTTTGTATGTGAAAGAGGTTGCTTGTAATAACAAACCCACAGAGAATTATCCTCCTTCCTGCAATTCCCTTCAGCTGAACATTTGAGCGTCTTTTGGGCTTTGTTATTCTGGCCTGTAATTGTGCTGTTTTGTTCCAGTGTCAATGCTTTCATCAACCTCGATTACAGCAGCACGCAGCTTTTTTTTTTTTGGTAAAAAAAATAAATAAAAACACAGCTACCTGCACAGCACAAAACAGCACTCAAACAAAGCCAGAGACTCACTGGTGAACCAAGTGGAGCATTTAGCAGCTAAAGAACCAGATATTTCCCTCAGGAGTTGCTGGAGACCAAGCAGAGCCCAATAGGAAAGTGAATATAGTACCTCAGGTGGCCAATAATGACTCTTTTGCTAAGAAGATTGCATGACATCTTTGTAAGGCGATAATGAGTAAGTCAATATGGCGTGAATCACAAACAACTAGCCTGGCTCTGTTAGGCAAGTGACAATATTCAAATAACCACTTTATATCTGGTTTGTTTAATCCGTACAGAAGTGTAAAAACAACAAGTTGCAGTGTTGGAGACTATTTCTTTCCTGAGAGCAACCTGTGACGAGAATTCAGGAAGTCGTCTTTTTTAAGTCTTTTTGCTAAGCTAAGCGGCTGCTGCCTTTAGCTTCATATTGACAGAAATAGGCGTATCTCCCAAAATGTCAAACTATTGCTATGACTTCATTTCACATCGTTTTCATTTACTACCCATCTAATTTAATGTTACCTTTCGCATCTGCTCATTTAATGAAATTTGGCAAACTGGGCTGTCCTTTCACTACTTCTTATTACACCTGCAAGACATACTAGTGTTACATTTACTCATCGCCCTGCAGGTAACAGGACAGTAAATTGGTCTCTGGGTTTAAGTGTCTTGTCTCTTGCCTAGAGAGAGAGCAACCGTCAGTATCATGTTCTGGTCTTTCACTACCTTTAAACATAATGAGAAGGAGGAAAGAACTATTTCTCTTCATCTCTCTCCATGGCTTTTCCATTTACGATGTGCGCTGTGGATTATGCTGTCGTGTCATGTAGGCCGGGCCCTCGGATCTACAAATGCAGATATAAAGTCTTTAATATTTCATTCCACAGGGTCGTCTGTACCGGAAGAATACCTCCTTGCGTCTTCGGGGACTGCTGTCAGACAGGATAACAACAGAATAATTCATGGTGCTGTTTTTCCTACGTTTGACTGTCTCGCTGTGTTTACTTTTTTCTTCTTCTTTGAAGCCTTTTATCAATTTCACTCCTGCTTTTGCAATTTCCCTTTCTGTCCTCGTCTTTTTTGTCCCACCCTCTGTTACCGTTTCCCTTTTTCTTGTAAAATGCATCCACTTTAACCCCCATGTCTTTCTCTTTCACTGCATTCTACATGTTCTGCATCAGGTTAGAAGACTGGTGGAGGTGGGAGTTTCTGACAGCTGCTGGAGTGGAAGTCTTGCCTACCCTCATGTCAGCTGTCTGCTCTGCAATGTGACCGGGGTGACGGGGTCATGACATGCCTTGCAGATACATGTTTTTGATGTTGTTGTGTCACTCACAGTGGAGAGAACAGCATCCTCAGTGGAGGCAACATTCTCACTCCTTACTGTCACAGCCAGCCCCCGCAGAACAGCAATACAGAGCACTCCAATTTAGCATCTGCAATATGGCACAAATCCGTCATATTGGCAGTGTAATGGACAGTGTTTTGTGTTGTCACTATTGTTTGAAGAGCTGCTTCTTCACTTAAAACTTTGATCGTAGAGTGGTTGAAGAGAGCTGGTGAAGGGATAGAGAGAGGAAAGCATCAGAGTGAACTCACAAAAACAGAGGAAAATCCCACTCTCCTAGGTGTGAACAATAACTGGACTGCGACTCTATGCTTAAGCATTGTTATTTAAGGACTTAGTTCGGTGATGCACTGTGGCATTCCTAACTGCGTGTTTGATGTTAATCTGCTGGAATGAGTAGAGAAATAGGAACACATTGAACCGTGTTGCATATTGTATTGCGCTTGACATGCGTCTCCATAGTGGCAACGACAGACCATAATTACAAGAAATGTCCAAATGCATGTATGCATTATGGATGGAAGAATAGTTACGTGATCCTTACGATATCCGGTCCCTGGTGGCAGTTGTTTTTCTATTCTTGGCCAAGCACAGTACATTTACACAAAGAAAATGTCTTTAGGTCAGTGGGAATTTATTTACTACTGTCTGTCTCAGTTTCACTTCTGCTTTTGTGAGCTGGCTGTAATAGCCCTCACCAACGGGGGCTGCTTCAGATGCAGATTAAATGCACCGAGACAAATGAGGTGGTTCACTCTACACAAACACATCGAATAGTGTTGGACAACAGAGACGCGGGATAATGCTCCCTGTGTGTCGCTTCGTCTTTCTTGCAAATCAATTCCCGTCCGCAGCTCCCGCTGTGGGGGAACTCTGTTCGGC